TATCCTTCATGTAGACACCACCTTCTTATCATAGAGTGCTCATTCCCCTGTCTCTGTCAAAGGGATCCATGCATGTCTGTTATTATGGCTTAGATTAGACAGCTGGAACTGATTTTATGGGTTTTTTTTGTTTTTTTTTTTAATAGTGCTGCAGCATTTGCTTAGAGGAAAAAGAAGTGAAGTAATTACATTAGCATTTAAAACAAATCACTACAAGAAAGTAGTGTTCTCTAGGTCAACCAGTTTGTTGGAAGTTATTTAAACCACAACAGCAGAGTATAGCATTGCAAAATCTGTAACTTTACATCTTTCACTATTTTTCTCTCTGTGTATGTATAAATGCACACATATATATTTATTTATATATATTTGCAGATGTATTTTAACTATTGAAATGTGCATGTGTGTGTGTACAGTCACATACTTAATTTTGAAACCTTGGCAAAATTAGCTAAAAAGAAATGTCATCCTGTCTGAAATCCTGTAAAGAAGAAAGACTAACCACTATATCATCTGGAGAAATATCAGGTTATTAGAAGTGGAATAGATTTTTAATTGCAACTGTATCAGTAGACACCACTGAAGTAATTACAGCCAATGAGGATCCAATAATGATGCCGCTGTCAGCATGAGCTCTGCAGAGAGTCCCACTCTGTCTCAGATGCTCTGGCGTCTGACAGATCAGGAGAGTGTGTTTCCCCCTCATACCATCTCTCCTGTGAAAATAAAATGGCTCGATGATGAAATCTCTTAGCACAGTCCCAGGAAAAAGTTTGGGAATGCTGCTGGGAATGGAAAGCAAATGCTAGATCTCCCACCTGGAGACATGTCCAAAGAGACACACTGCTTTCTTTCTTTTTCTGACCCTTCCTATAGAAAGGAATTGGACTCCTTTTGCTAGTTGAGGAGGAAGCCACCTTTTTCCACACTTCAGCAGGGTCTGCAGGGCAGGAAAAGGCAATCATCTGCATGAGCTACAGGAGAGTTTAGGGATCTGCGCCACCGCGTGTAAACCACTGCTGGGCTTGGCGGAGCTGCACCATCAATACCTTGAGCTTCTCTGTGCACAACCGGGACGACTGTTAAAGCTGTAATATTCCTAATTAAATCATAGATGATGCGCATTTCTCACTCTGCAGAACATCAAAGAAGGGATGAGATGTTTATTAAGAGGCAAAGGAAAAAAAAAGGCTGTAGGTGAGCTCTGCAACCATAAAGTATGGACTGAAGATCACTGGAAGATTTCCAATGAATTTTGTGCAAAACAAAAAGGACAGTGCAAACCTTTCCATCTCTGAAGAATTTAAGTTGTTGTACCTGCGCTCTTCTAGGAGACCTGGAACTACATGGGGCTTCACCTCCAAGCTTGAGTTTGGCATTCTGGGCCCCTTTTGGGCTTTAAAATTTCCCTTTTTCTTCCTCAATAGGTTACAAAGACTTATTTCACTTTTTATCAAAATTATCTACTGTAAATTTATTTTTTAACTAAAAATTTGAAATACTAGGAGTTTTGGAAGAAGATACATTTATGTATATTTTCAAAGCAGTTTTCCACTGTAAAATTGTTCTAACAGATATATTTTGACCAGCCTAAAAACAGATACTGCCATTTGCCATGATAAGGAATGGTAAGGAGGATTATTCATACCAGCTTCTAACTGAGGTACTTAAGTTAGTATTCCATTAGCAATGGGCTTCTATGTAGTTAATGGAGCAAGATAGGATCTTGCAGAGAACTATTTATGAGAACTGGTTGGAACTTAACTATTAGGTTTCATGAATCCTCCCTTCCTAAAAATCTCAGTCTTGGTGCTACAGCAATGGAGATATGTGAGCAAGCCAGCCATTCCTTTATAACTGAGAGAAGGCATTGATGCTATTCCCTGAGTGTGGCAACAGACAGTTACTTCTTCTCAGAAGGTGATACCTCAAGGGGACTAGGTATGTTATGTGTAAGGATGTCATAGGTTCTTTTATTTTGGATTTCTTTTTTTTTTTCATCCATCCCCAGATGTGAATGGGACTGCTCACACCAGCTATACTGCCTAAGGAGAGACTGCATACGCAACAGTGAAGCATAAATTCCCTGACTTCAGATCCTGATACCCTATCTGAGTTGCAAGGGAGATAAAGTCACTCATTCTCATTTTTGTGCTATTGTATGTGTTGGTGGTTGTCTAGTCAGAGCAACATGGAAGTCTGTATGGACTAATTTACCTGGAGAAAGACACAATGCATAAAATGAATTCATCCCTCAAGGAACTTAGTTTGGCAGATATTGGGGGTGAAAGTAGCTCATTACTTTAGAGGGAGCTAGCAGGTTGAGAACATAGGGCCTGAAAAGGCTCTTTGCTGATGCACAGCTGAATGATGGGAAGGAGAAACATGTTGCTGATAAAATATAAATGACATTCTCCACCTTCAAACCCAGCTGAAATCCCTCCTGAGTGTCCGAAGGATGAATTACCTCACTATTCAGCCTTGGTGCAGCTCTGTATACCCTGGATCTGTTCCAGGCTAGAAAATATACTGAAAATCTCCTCAAAAAGGCCCATCTGAGTTATTTCCTTTCTGGCATCAAGAAACTCAAAATGGCCATGCTGGCTGGTTTGCAGAGTGCAGAGCACCTATAAATCCTTGGAAGCTGTTGACAGATGCTGGTACTTAGCACTTAGCATAAAGACAAAATTAAAGTTGCCGTGGATTTATTACAGGTCTTGTCTTAGGTGGCATACAATGACCCGCCTTGCTTCTATTCCAAAATGAAGGCTTGCTAATACTGCAGAGTATCCCCTGGGATTTTTTCAGCAGGCCCCACTACTGTGCTTCAAGTGGTTTAAGATGCTTGGCTGAACCATATATTAGCAGCATTCACTGCTGGACCAAGCACATAATATCATTTATTGCTCCTATACACCTGTTTCTGAATTTTTTCCTGTGTATTGCTGTGGCTAACTAACCATGTCACAAAGATTCATGTTATTTTTCAGAACTCAACACCTGTGCTCCCACCCTTCGGGAAAGGTGAAGGTGTCACAGGCGATGTCAGCTGAACACAACGATCTTGGCTTTAGCCATCTGTTAACCCACATGTGGTAATTGTTTAGCTCATGTTTAGCTAGATTCTGCTTCAAACAAAGGCTGATGTATCCTGCCTAGCTAGAAAGACCATTGCATACAGGGCAAGAAAGTATAATGGCTGAATGGGAGTAAAGAACAACAGCGATGTCAGCATGGTGCTTGCTATTTTATAGTGCACGGTTGGGGTGTGCAGTGTACTATTTTAAAGATGGTGCATGAATCACTGCCAGCATACATTGGTTTCAGTCAGTGGAACTATGAGTAGCACTGAGCTAGTATTAATTTGTCCATTTTAATACAGCAGATTGTTGGTTTTGGTGTTTCCAAAACCCCATGGCTACAAGTTGCTTCTTGTCACAATAAGAACAACAACTACAACACTAGGCAGTGCCCAGGGAGTCCGCTCTCAGCCTAACTGGGATAATATCATTGAACTCTTTTGCTTTGTTTTATAATTAATTTTATGTTCTGCAGAATTAATTTTAAGTGGCTGAAATATAGCATTGGAGAGTGTCCTGGAAGACAAGAGTCCAGGGTTTTTGTTTTCAGTCTGCTATTGTTTTGCCCTGCAGCTTTGAGCAAACTGGCCTAGAGAGGCAACAAGTCAGGACAACTATATTGACTTGTATATACAAATATATACATATACACATGTGTGTGTGGGTGGGTGTGTAAATATGTATGTACATGTAGATTATTAGTATATGACTGATTATCCTATCAATATATCAAGCATAGTGCTAACTCTTAGTATCTAAATCACAGGGCATGGGCCTATTAATTAAAAACACATCTGAGGGACTTTCTTTGGGTCACATGCTGGCTGTGGCACTGGGAGGCAGCTGAGAGCCTCCCTGCTTACAAGGCTTCAGAGTGGGGGCTGCAGCTCAGCAGGTATCACACCATCTCACTTGCTGGGCCACACACAGGGTTTATTGAACAGGTATGGCCCAGAGCTGGGGGGGTGAGCCCTGTGTTTGGTACTCAGGGTCCCAGCATGAGAAGTCACCAAGGTGTTGTCCCGCACAAGTGAGAGCACTGGCCTCCCCGTGCCGGAGAGAGAGAGGTGAGAGCAAATAGCACGAGTCAGTCAAAGTGCAGCATCACAGAACACAGTAAAGCAGCACAAAGCTTTGGTTAACAATATTTGTAAATATAGATTCACATGCAATTCTCTAAAAATGCATGTTTCTTATATTTTTATGACTGGATTGTAAATTTCTCAAGAAAGCATTACTCTCTGAACGTTATTTCCCATGCAGGGAAAAACAAGGCACAAGGACGTTAACTGATCATCTTATCGTCACAAAGCAGGTTCAAGGCACAGCCAAGGAGTGGATCCTGGACTGGATTGCTTCAGTCATCACGCCAATGTAAAGCACATGGTAAGTTGAAAAACATCATGTTTCGGGATTAAAATCCCCCTTCTAATGATGAAACCTCTTATCAAGACAAATATCATCTCCAAATGTCAATATTAAAAAAAAAAAATTCTGAATAGGTTGCTATGAAGTACATTTATTTTTAGGCTTACTTCTCTAATTAGAAGTTACCAGGGCTTTACCAAAGCAGTCTTAAAGTGTTTATGGGGGACATTCAAGAAAACTGAGCCTTATGCTTACAGTGCATATCTCCCATTATTAACCAGTTCCTAAGTGCTTGTGACAAAGTCTGTCCCTAGTGTTCTGGCATCCATGGATTTGCTACTGGTTGTGGACATGTCCTTATGAGTGTAAACATAAAGGGAGATTTTTATTTAAATAAATTTCAGGTGAGGAAAACTATCAGAACAGGAAAGCAGAGAGATTGTCTGGAACAGGGAAAAGCATTTGACTTCCATAACGGGGAAGAGTTTCCTGAGAAATCCATGGTGCATTTCAAAGCACTCATTAACCCAGCATAGATTTATTAATACTAATTGAAACACATGTCAGAAATGTTGCCACAAAAGCTCCTCAAAGCAGGAAAACAGTAATAATAAAAAACAACAACCCATTTTTGGCTCACATCAAGTTCTCTAAAGAATCTTTGCCAAATGATTTCTCTACAAATCTGCTTCTTTGCTGTTGTTAGTCTTCCAACAGCAATAGACAAAAATGCAATGACTTTCACATCTGTTAGACCATTATTATTTCATGTGTGGGGGTGACTTTGCCACTTCATGATGCACGGTAATGATGCATAATCGGCTGATGACGCGAGTGGGCTGGCTGTCATTGGGAGTCTCTGCAGCTGTGACTCTTCTGGGTGGGGAGAAGAGATGCAGCATTTATTTGAGATTTCAGTGCGATAGAGTGGTGGGATTGCTTTAAGTGCAAGAAGCTGCATAGATGTGTCTTGTCTACTTGCAGGGTACTGAACAAGCTTTGAGAGCATTAGAAAGGACATATAGGAACCAGTTCATGGTAGCTGAAAACAGCAGGCAAATCCAAACAAGCTGTGTGGGGTACTGCGTTCCACTTTGCACTTCGAAACAGAATGATGCAAGTCTCTAAAATGTTATGTTTCTAGTTTTGCATGTGAAAAAGAAATGCCTAAGCCTGATCTTGGTAACAGGAAAGGGAAGGTTTTTTTTAAATGTCTTTCTTTATAGTATCTGAGTGCTCCTTAAGAAATCAAAGAAGGGAGACAGTATTTTGTTTAATAAACCTATTCATCTTTTCCTTGGTAAGTTTATGAAGGCCAAAAATCTTCTCATTTTTATTGTTCTGCTGGGTTCTTTGACTTTTTTTCAGTTCTCCACCATATCTTTTATTCTGCCAGCCTAAGTAAGCTGTGCTCCTATAGTTTTCTCTAATGTGATTCCTGTATCTGCTTCAATTTAAATCCATCTTCCTTGACTCCATGAAAATGAAACTCTGCAGACTGTCCCACGTGTGATCCCACTTGAGCCATTTACAACAGTGTCTGTACTTCCTATCACTATTGCAAAGTTAGATATTACAGTATTACAGATATACGGATATTACTCTTTAGGCGGTATGTATTGTTTGATATATACTGCCATTACATGAGCTACATTGTAATCAGAATTGCTTTTCTCATGGTAGCAATATTTTGGTAGTGTGCAATCTGCATCCCATGTAGCTCCTGGGAGCGGCCTTCCTGCCATCTCCAGCTCCTCTGGTGGTCTTCAAGTAGAGGTTATAGTTTCCTTCCCCGGGAAATAGGTTCATTAAGGCCCTGGTGGGTGGTGACTTAGGCCAGAGTCCTTGGCTCCTTGTTGCTTCCCTGTCTCCAGTTCTGGGGAAAGCAAACTCAGTGCAGCTCTGCCATGGGGCCAGTGCAGGTGCTGGGCTTCAGCTCTCCCTTTGGGTGCCCCCGTATAGTGCTGCATGTAAGGACTCAGTTGTCATTCCGCGGTGCTATGATGGCACTGATTTAACATGAATACCGTTGTGGCTACTTGCAGTATCCTGGGTCAGTTCTGCCATAAATCTGGAGGGATTGTACCCCTTATCCTTCCCACGGGAGCTAGCTATATTCCTTGAAACCTTCAGACAAAGGTGGTAATTTTCATTTCCATACTGTCTTTTGCACTGCTTTTCACCACTTCTGTTTAAAGGTTACAGCATCTTTTCTCTGAGACTCCTGTGTGAATTGCCTTAACGAAGATAATCTTAACCCAAACAAGATTTATTAAAAAAAGAAAGGAAAGGAAATTGAAAAAAAGAAAAAAATGGTTTATTTAATTTTCAGCATAAATTTATCTACATTTCTTATGGGCTAAGCTAGATAAAACATTTCAGCTGTGTGATAAGAGTGAAGAGAGATACAAATCATTCACCTTCCTTAAAAATTAGTCTTCTGTCTATTAAAATACTCTCTTATCATGAACTTTCTGTCTAGAGAGAGATATGAATATCCTACTTGTTTGTCAGCATTTTCTCCAGGCAAACATGCAGTAGACGTAGAATGCATGACTTTCCCTGACAGGTGGCACGCTGAGGATGTTAGCTTAATAGTGATTAACAGCTGGTTCTCAAATGCTCCGTTACTTGTTCAGAAATTGTCTTGCACAGGTTGCAACATCTCAGCAGAGCAAAAGTTATCCAGGCATCAAGTTTATCAAAATTTTCCTTTACATCAATTTTCCCACTGAGTCAATTTTTCCTGCAGTAATAATATGATAATATGAACTATAAACAGATCTCTGGACTCAAGTTAACATTTGTCTAGTCTGACCTCTTGTAATAAATTTTTGATTCTATTTACAGGAGACAGGTCAGCACTGGAAATCCTGAGTTGACCACCTCAAACTTGCTGATATTTGAAAACTAGAATCAACCTTAGGTCTGAAATATCTTTGCCATCATGAAATTAAACCTAAAATGCAATTACTCTTTGTCATTCCAACAGCACTTAACCTGTTGTCAGTACTCCTAAAATGCAAGAAACAAAGGGGTAAAGAACTATATGTAAATATCCATACAACTGGGATGCACAAATGGCATATCTTGAGCCTTATGGGATGCGTGTCACTGAATGTACTCTCACTCACTGCCTTCTAAATTGGACATGAAGGCACCGGACTGCTAAAACGAAGAAATTATGGGCCTTGCCCTAGCCTGCTATAAAGTAATAATACAATTAGGAGAGGATGCACCTGACTAATAAGTAGATTTTCATCATGGGCAGTAGGAAAGTTTTTCTCACACCCTCTCAGAAAATACAAGCAGTTTTTCTGCATGACTGAGTTGTACAACGCGGTGTCCTCATCCAGGACAGAAGGAGGCTGGGGTATGCACTGGCAGATCTGCCCTGGGAGTTGATATTGGGTTGATGGTGATGCCCTTTTTTGGAAGACTCTTCTGGAGGTCTCAGCCTTATCAAGACTGAGTGTGTGAGCAAATCAGCCCCACATGTAGGCTTATGGGGAGCCATACACTAGATATTCCTTAATGTCCATAGCGGGAGGTGCTAGACCTGCTCTGAGCGTGCCAGCTCCCCATATGTGGGGAATCTACACAAGCCAAGACAGCAGCAATTGCTTTTCTTTAAGCTAGCGTGATGCATGTCAGTCCCACACGGGATGAGCTGTGAGGAGCACTGTAGCTGTCAGTGCCTCTTACTGACTGTCCAGCTTCCTGTTGACCATGCTGGTCCTGGCCATGTGCCTTCAAGTACTATAATGTTAAAAGGCAATTCATCTCAGCCAACATTAACCATCTCAGACTTAGGTGCTGCCAAGTTAGTTTCTTCCTCTGCCACCAATGAGAAGAGCCGCTCTTCATATTCGAAGGCCTAAAGCTGTTCGTGCGATTAGCAGCCTTGGATTAGCACTACCATTTGGAAATACGAATCCTAATTTCTAATGTATTCAAGGTCTTTGGCAGGGTCTTGGCTGTCTTCTCTCTGAGATAACAATGCTGTGATGCAGAGTTTGCTTAGCTTCATGAAGGCCTAACTGCATCACCCAATAGTATAAGAACTTGAAAAATTACTTAAATCAGCTGCTAGTGACTATTTTCAAGTCACTATTTCCAGAAGTTTTGTCCCTTTTCCTTTTGTATAGAGCTAGTTGATATTAATTCTAACCCAGCAGAGCCTGTGAGCTACAGGAGGTAACGTAAAAAGTGTTATAGCAAATCTCTGTAATAGATTAGCACTGACTGGCATAAATCCAATAATTGCTGGGTTAGTTTCCCCTTTATAAGACAAAGTAGTCTAGGTTATCTAGATGCCTTATTATAATTTTGTCCAATACAAAAGGATGGTTATCTGATGGCATTTGTCTAGTGAGAGATAAACACAATCAGTGCAGCTTCTGGATTTTCTCCGCCAGTCATTCCCCTCCTCTCTCGTCAGTCCGACAGCTGTGCTTTGGTAGGCAGTTGTCCCCGCTATCCTTGCTGCCCAGAGTCCTGATAAGGCAGGCTAGCTAATGCCACTGCTCCTGCTGCTGAGAGCTGGTCTCTAAGGACAACGCCTACAGCTGCCCCCTCATGGCAACAGTAGTTACTATTCCCACCTCACCTGTGTCCAAGCAGCAAAAGGATCAGCAAAGCCAAAACAGAAGTCCATCTCCACCAGCACTGGACCTGTCCCTTGTTCAAGTCATGCTCCCAGCACTCTTTGTTCCTGAGCCTCAGTTGAGAAAAAAAATGGCATTTTGGCAGTCTACTCCTTGCCCGTTTCATCCTCACCCTGGTGTCGTAATTGCTGTGACTTCTTCATCCACCCCACCCAGCCCATGGCAAGGGGAGACAAGCGCTGAAATTGTATCCCTTATCTGTGCAGTGCTTAAGCCTCATCTGTTGGGACAGTCTCACCGATTGGGAGCAACCCAGTTGCTCCTTTAAATGGCTTGGACTTGAAGATGACTAATGGTGAAAACAAAGCATTCCAGCCAGGCCTCTCTGTCTTTCCTAAAGCATAAGGGAGCCCAGCCTTTTGTGTGGATCTTTTGATGCACTTGTAATACTTTCACCAAAGCAAGAGTTGGCAGCTATTTTTATGGGGAAAGCTGTACAGTTTCCACAGTAGTTAAGATTTTTCAAAGCAGTCTAGGGGATTTCAGACACATATCTTCCATTCGCTTTAATACACCCTCACTTTAATGAAAGATATGCCTGAATCCCCTAGGCTGCTTTGGAAGTCTCAGCTACAGAGTCTGATTTAAAACCCACTGAGATCAAGTCTCTCCACTGACGTCAATGGGCTTTGGACTGTCCCAATGTGAAGGAGATTTCTTTATTGGATGTACCTGTAAAAGGCAGAGTCTAAGCCAGTTCACATTGACCCATTCTTCATATCAGGCAGACCTTACTAGTCATCACTAATGGTACACAGCCTTCAAGCAGTGGCATTTTCCAGATGATGAACGATTGAACAGCCACAGTTGCAATTAAATCTTTAGTGTGATCACTATTAGAAATGGATTAGGGCAGGGGGGAAGATTGCCTGACACATTTATTGTGATGCAAAGGTCGAATAGGATGCCTAGAAACAAGGGAAAGATTTTGAGATGGTACCTTAAAATGAATGTAAAGGCTGGAAATATGTTCTGTGCCCTCTTCATAAGTGGCTTAGCTTCTGGTCTGTTTTTTTTCCCTCATCTTCTTCAAAAACATCCAACATTAGCTTCAGCTAGAGAGGAGTTTGAGCAGGGGATACTGGTGTTCTTTGTGGTATAGAGAAACCTTTCAGCGACTTGATTGTTTTATATTTCATACATTTAAGGTTAAACTGACTGTCAGGAAAAGATTTCCCCCCCCCCCCCCAAAGCTTTCATTTGGAAGTGGGAGAGAGGAAAAAGAAAGAAGGTCATGGGAAACACAGAGTAGTTGTTTTCCTTTGTATGTGGGATATGGTCCTCTTGGGTCACTTCAAAATTTCCTTCCTTTTTCTAAGGTCCTAGGACACTGGCTGTGCTGTCTATTTCTTTCGTAGCCAGGAGACTTTGGAATCCAGGGGCTCCTGAACTGAAGGCCTTACATTCATTGTAAGCTGCTGGAGAGCATGTGGTATATTTGGATCATGATTTGAACCTTTCAGGACATAAGCACTATATGCGAGCATGGGAAGCTCTGCAGGAAGACTAAACAGGTACTAATTGATAGGTTGAAGAGACATTTAATAACTGCTATTCTTCTACATTTAATTAGTAATTTAATAGACTAAAACACTGCAAAAATGGGCCTCTCATTAGCTCCAGAAGGTTGCTGCACCTCAGAGAGGGTCATTTAGGTTATGCTGAATTTCTCTCCAGCCTTTCAAGAAAGCCAAGATTAGCAAGAGGTAACAGCTGTGTGTTGTAAGAAGCACAGACAAAACCTCCAACATTATCTTTTATATTTTAATTTGCCTTTTTTACCCATGAGTTTTCCCGCTCTGACCAATCAGCCACACTCATCTAGTGGGAATAACTGCAATGGAGAACAGGACCTAGTTATCAGTGGGTATCTGCAGCTGAGGCTGAGGACTTGTGAATTTAAACTATGCAAATGTAAGTTTTCAGACCTCATCTCAGCTCTGGAAACA